GATTGTTGATATTAGAGCCTGTGCTGTTGGTTTTGTGTTCAGGAAGTTTTCTCCTGTACCAATGAGTCAAGGTTCTTCCACACTTTTTCTTCTAAGCGGTTTAGTGCATCTGGTTTTATGTTGAGGTCTTTGATCCACTTGGACTTAAGTTTTGTGCAGGGTGATAATTATAGATCTATTTGCATTTTTCTATATGTAGACATCCAGTTAGAAGAGCACCATTTGTTGAAGATGCTATCTTTTTTCCATTGTATGGTTTTGGCATCTTTGCAAAAATCAAGTGACCATAGTGTTTGGGTTTATTACTGGGTCTTCTATTCAGTTCCATTGACCCACCATTCTGTTTCTATGCCAGTACCATGCAGTTTTTATTACTGTTGCTTTATAGTACAGCTTGAGATCAGGGATGAAGATACCTCCAGAAGATCTTTTATTGTAGAGAATTGTTTTAGCAATTCTGGATTTCTTGTTACACTATATAAAGTTGAGAACTTTTCTTTGCAGGTCTGTAAAGAATTGTGTTGGTAATTTGATGGGAATTGCATTGAATATGCAGATAGCTTTTGGTAAGATGGCCATTTTTACTATGTTAATCCTGGTAGGCCATGAGCATGGAAGATCTTTCCATCTTCTCATATCTTCTTCTAATTCTTTCTTTAGAGACTTGAATTTTTTTTTTTCATACAAGTCTTTGACTTGCTTGGTTAGGGTTACACCAAGGTACTTTATGTCTTTTGTGGCTATTGTGAAGGATTTTGTTTCTCTAATTTCTTTCTCAGCCCTTTTGTCTTTTGTATACAGGAGTGCTACTGATTTTTTGAGTTAATTTTGTATCCGGCCACATTGCTGAAGGTGTTTATCAGCTGTAGGAGTTCTCTGGTAGAATTTTTGGGGTCAGTCAGGTATACTATCATATCATCTGCAAATAGTGCTACTTTGACTTCTTCCTTTCTGATTTCTAGCCTCTTGATATCTTTCAATTGTCTTATGCTCTAGCAAGGACTTCCAGAAATATGTTGAAGAGATAGGGAGAGAGTGGGCTCCCTTGCCTTGTCCCTGATTTCAGTGGGATCACTTTAAATTTCTCTCCGGTTAGTTTGATATTGTCTATTGGCTTGCTGTATATTTCCTTTACTACCTTCAGGTATATGCCTTGTATCCCTTATCTCTCCAATACTTTAAACATGAATGGATGTTTGATTTTGTCAAATGATTTTTCAGCATCTAACAAGATTATCATGTGGATTTTTCTTTTAGTTTGTTAATATGGTGGAAAACAATGCTGCCAGTCCTGACGAGACCTGATAGGCTAGGGTCATATGGAAGGAGAGGAGGACCTATCCTATCAGTGGATTTTGAGAGGGGCATCGGAGGAGATGAGAGAGGGATGGTGGGGTTGGTAGGGAATGAGGGAGGGGGCTACAGCTCGGATACAAATTAATATAATGTAATTAATATAAAAATAAATAAAAATAAATAAATAAAAATTATCTCTGAAAGGAGATAGATGTAATATTTGAAAATTACAGCTACATTACCCTCAGTTATTTGTAGAGAGCTTGTAGAGCTAACTATTCAACTACACCTGCTATGAAATCATTCTTTGCTTTTTCTCAGGGTTATTAGAGCTGGTGATTTTGAATACTCTTGTACAAGTTAATACAACTCAAGGTCCAGAGACCAAGCATTTTGTTTCTTCTCCAAGATGCAATCATATCATGTAATCTGACCCTGTTTTCAAATAACATATACTCGGTCTGGAGAGATGGCTCAGAAGTTAAGAGCACTGCATGCTCTTCTTAGAGGTCCTGAGTTCAATTCCCAGCACCATATGGTGGCTCACAACCATCTGTAATGGACTCTCATGTTCAGGTGTACATGCAGGCAGAACATTGTATACATAATAAAATAAATAAACCTTAAAAAAAGTTAGCCAAGTAACATATACTCAATTCATTGCTTTTTTTTTTCCGACTCATCTACTCTGCTGTCAATATTTCCTGTTGAAAATTTATTTCCTTAACTATATTTTCAACTCCAGGATTTCTTGGATTTTTTTGAAGGAGACAGTATGTGCATATGCACCTCTCTGTGTACGTATGTGTGTTTGAGTACAAGTGTGTTTTGGGGGAGTAAGGGGGTGTCAGCAGTCAAATTTAGTTATCACTCCTCAAGATCCAGCACATTGACAGTGAGATAGCAACTCTCAATGGGTTGGCGCTCATAAAGTAAGCTCAGCTGGTGAGCAAGGAAGCACCTGGAACCAACCTGTCTCTGCTTCCTTACAACTGTAATTATGTGTTCAAACACACCTGGAGTTTGTGTATCAAACTTTGGTATCAAATTTTGGCCCTCATCCAGTATGACATGCCTTTCACCCACTAATCTATCTCATCAGCCTCTTGTTTATTGCTTTAATTTTAATATATCTGTTAAATTTCTATGTGTATCGCTACTGTTTTACTGATCTCATCCAGTTACTTTTCTAAATTTTCTGAAATTTCCTGAGTTTTTTAAACAAATAAGGTTATTTTGGGGAGCTAAAAGGGCTGAATACTGTCTCCAAGTAGTGTTGAATGTACATAGTCCTAGATGGCCTGACACTTGCTCTGTAGGCCATGCTGGCCTGGTACAGAGATCTACCTGTCTTTGCCTCCCTGTTAATGAGATTAAAGGTGTATGTCACCAAGCAAGGAGACACTTGTATTATTGATCAGATAGCGTATTTCCTTTTATCTTGGGTTAGTTACTAGTACATTATTTTGTTGAATTTGCTATAGTATATTTCCATGATTATTCATGATCTTTGTGGCTTTGTATTTATTTTAAGAAGTAGAGATGTATTCTTTTTACAGATTGAGCTTTTCTCCTTGAAAAGCCCTTCACCAAGCTGCCTTTCTAGGTGTTCTTAACAGGCCATTTGGTGGTATCTGCATTGAGGCTTGTTGTTGGAATCTTTAGACAAGCTGGCTTAGTGACCTGACCAGTAGGTAGGGAATCCTGACAACTAGATAAACTGGGTTGGTGGAATACTGCTTAGTTTTCATAAATCTCTGGGTTTGATGGCCAAAAGTGTATACAATGGTCATGGTTGCAGTTACCTGTCATTCCATCACTTGACATTGGGGAGAGGAAGATCAGAAATTCAAAGCCGTTCTTTCATTGGGAACAAAGCAGAATTATAGGAGATCATGTTTTGGAAAGAAGCTGTTATCAAAGCATTTGCCCTCATAAGTAGATGCTATGACTAAGACTTCTTTCTGATTTTAAATAAAGTTTGCTCATTTTAAAGCTTCCAAGGTGTTTCCATTTTTCACTTATCTATCTATCTATCTATCTATCTATCTATCTATCTATCTATCTATCTTTCTTTCTATCTATCTATCATCTATCTATATCTAGTCATTTATTTCAATTTATTCACTTCGTATCCCTGCTCCCCTCACCCTTTCCTCCTAATCCCACTCATCATCCCTCTCCTCTCCCTATATCCTTTCCTAAGTCCCCTGATAAGGGAGGTCCTTCTCTCCTTCTATTTGAACCTAGCCTATCGGGTCTCAACATGGCTGGTTGCATCATGTCCCTCTATAGCTTGGCAAGGCTACACCCCTCAGGAGGAGAAGGTCGAAGAGCCAACCACTGAGGCCATGTCAGTGAAGGGAAGGACTGAGGGAAGGGGCTTCAGTGGGAATACAATGTGAATAAATTGTTATAATTTAAAAAAATTTAAAAGAGTTACCACCCACCATGACTAAGAAAGCTTTATCACAGGCATGCAGGGGTAGTTCACCATCTGAAAATCCATTAATGTAACCCACCATATAAAAGAACTTAAAGAAAACAAAAAACAAACAACAACAACAAGAAAAAAACAAAATGAAAATAAGTTGTAATCTCCTTAGATGCAGAAAAAGCATCTGACAATATTCAACACTTCATTTGACAAAAAGCATTTGACAATATTCAACACTGTTCATGTTTAAAGTTTTGGAGAGATCAGGGATACAAGGAACATATCAAATCATAGTAAAATCAATATACAACTGGCCTATAGCAAAAATTAAACTAAATGGAGAGAAACTTAAGTGAATCCCACTGAAATCAGGAATAAGGCAAGGCTGTACGCTCTCTCCTTCAACATAGTTCTTGAAGTACTTAGCTAGAGCAATAGGTAACTAAAAGACATCAAGAGAATGCAAATGAGAAAGGAAGTCAAAGTATCACTCTTCTCAGATGATACAATAGTATACAGGAGTGACCTCAAAAAATTCTACCAGAGAACTTCCACAGCTGAGAAACACCCTCAACAAAGTGGCTGTATACAAAATTAACTGATCCTAGTCTATCAGGTCTCATCAGAACAGGGTGCATATTCTTTCTCTGTGGCCTGGTAAGGCTGCACCCCCCTCAGGGGAAGGGTTGATTAAAGAGCTAGCCACTGATTTCATGTCAGAAATAGTCCTTGTTCCTCTTACTAGGAAACCCACTTGGAGCCTGAGCTGCCATAGGCTACATCTTTCCAGGGGTTCTAGGTTATCTCCATACATGATCCAGGGTTGGAGTATCAGTCTCTGAAAAGACCCCTAGGACCAAATAGTTTAGTTCTGTTGCTCTCCTTGTGGAGCTCCTGTCCCCCTCCAGGTCTTTCTATCTCCCCCTTCTTTCATAATATTCCCTGAACTCTGCCCGAAGTTTTAGAACAACTATCCCTTATTAAAATATCCCAGAAAATGCTGATTCCTGTGAAGCTCTATTAAAATTAATCTAAGTGCTTTTGCTTTCCTGAGGACATTTACTAGGAGTCATGTTATGACCATGTTCTTTGAAAATGGTACAATTCACCCACACATACAAATCATTTAGCTTTTTACAAGCTTCAGTAGTTAAAGGTGTTTATCAGGAAGATCTATAAATAAAGGTGGTCATTGTTTTCTGACTGCAAAGCAAACTGACTTTCAAAAGAAGATCATATTTTCCCTTCTTGCATAAGAGACTGTACCATGAAGTTTTATCTCTTTTTCTTTATTCTGCTCTTTTGGATCACCATTTTAACAGGTAATATGCAATCATTTGTCATGGGTATTTGTAGTAGTAGATTTGGGAAGGCAACAGTTACTGGTTGTTAAAAACACTAAAAAAATAACTGTAAGAATGAAAGTACTATTCTCTTGGATTTACTTTAGTATTTTTGAATTGCCCCTATAGCAAAAAAGAGCTCTTAGTAGGAAACCTGGTGAAACAAGAATAAAATGTAGTTTAGTCACTACTATCGTATTAGACTTAAGTTCTTACTGCGTATGGATTAATATCCATATGAAGTGCATATGAAGGATATGACACATAATGGGATTGGCTTCCACTCTGTTCAGATGCCAATATGTTAAAAGTGAAAATGATTCCAAAGATTAAAATTAAAATAACCATGATTATCCCATTATGTTTATTCAAAAACACATATTTAGTATTCATTCCTGCTCTATTTGTTCTTTGTTAAAAAAGTATTATTGAACATTATCTACTTTAAGGTATAAATAAAGTAATATTAGAATATTTACCTTCATTGTTCTCTACCATAACAGAATATTAGTGAAATCTCTTTTGGTATTGTTTTCTCAGGATCACTAGCTAACTATATCCTTGTTGGGTTTTTATTTGTTTGTTTTGGGAATTTTTGTTTTTCGTTTCTTTGTTCTGACAGTAGGTTGCATTGTCTTTTAGTCTTCCTAATGCAATACCTCCAGCCTGAAGAAAACATGTACACAACCACATAATTCCTGATGTCAATCATATGAAGTAACATAATTTTCTGAACAGAGCAATATATATTTTTTGTACTACATGTGGGTGAAAAAAATTTACCCAAAGAACTATCCCTTTTCATCATGTACAAAGTAAAATGTATTGTGAAGTGATACTCATGCATTAACTGCATGAAAACAAAATGAGAGTACTGACTTTAAATTAGTTATTTTTATATTAAATAATTAATTCACCCATTCATTCATTCATCCATTCATTCATTTATGACACTCTCGCCTAGTAGGCATTAAATACCCTAGGCTTCATATGGCCTCCAATACATAATAGGTTGTTTTCCTTCTATTTTCAGCTGCAATCCACACTACAAATTATTATATAAATCTGTTGCAAGTCTTATCTTCCTTATAACATACCTCTTCAAGTGCCCTCACTAAAATCGAGTTACTTATCTATTTCTTCCTCAAAAGGAAATTTTTACATGTAATACAGGCTTAGAAATTATAAATCACTTAAATAATAGTGCCAGGTACATTATATTGTGAGCCAATCTCTTTATGTATTTTTATTTTACCTCCCCAAAAAGTAGGTATGCGCCTTTTAAGATTTTACATGAACTAAACCCGTAGAGAACTCTTATTATTAGAGACCAAAACACTGTGAAAAACAATAACAGTCACTATGTCTCGACATTATTTTCTTTTCAAAATCAGGAGAGGTATAATATAATTTGAAAGGCAATGAATAGGCTTATTTTTCCTGTATAGCTCACCAGCCTATGTTAATAGAACTAAAGTGAATGAAAACATATGTCACCAAAGCTGGGGAGATGGCTGAGTGCTTAAGCGTGTTTGCTGTTCTTACTGAAGTCTTGTGTTCAGCTCCTCGGCTCTCAGCTCATAGAGTAGGTAGCTGGAGATCACCTACAACCGCAGCTCTCTGGGACCTAATGATCTCTCACCTTTATATGAACCTCCATGGATGTAGTGCACATAAACTATTACAGGGACAAACAGAAACACGTAAGTAAAATCAAAAAAATACTTAAATGTATACAATGGCCCGTGTGTCACTGCTGGAATTAGATTATTTTCCTCCATTTTCTCATTTTAATGTAGTGTTGCATACAACATATATTGTTTCCAACTTGTAACTCCTCTGAGATCTCTCCATCACCTCTACAAACCTTCCAAAATGCTTCTTTTTATTTCTTTTATAATGCCATGTCATTATATTACTACTGTTGAAAGTCCTTAAAATTCCTTTACAAAGAATTTCCTTTGTGTAACTTAGCTTTCTTCTTTGTTTTCTAGACACTATAAATGGAAAAAAAAAATTATTGCTCCACTTTTTTTTTTCATTTTTTTCTCTGACAAATTGGGAAGTTTTTTTTTTTTAATTAATGGATGTTTTTCTTTAAAAGTTTATATATGCTACGAATACAGGACAGCATATTTTTGTATTGAAGAGAATACATTGTCTTTTTTTCCTGATCCTCCCAACATTTATAGTAGCTAAAGAATAAAAACTAAAAGAGTAAATAAATAAATAAATAAATAAATAAATATGAAAAGGAGTTGTAGGTGAAATAATTATTTTAGGAATCATTCTGCACAGATTTACCTTGTATATTAATAGATTCATATACTATTTGAAGAAATCCACTATCATCTTTGATGTTCAAATGTAGTATAACTGATTCATGAGAAAGAAAAGGAAAGGAATTCTGAAAAGTATTGTGCATGTGCTTCAGAGAAGATATAATACTTGATTCACACATGTTAAAACAATGTGTTATTTATTTGTCTTTTCACAGTATAATTATAACAGTGATTCTCAACTAGGGCTGATGCTATACTGGAGTAAACATTAAGAAATGTTTGGAGAACTTATGTCACGACTGGTATACTGGGAACTGTTGTGTAAAGTTTGGAACAGCTGCTAAATAACCTGTAGTGCACAAAACAACCCCCTTAAGACGGAGATTTGTCCTTGTGGAGCTCCTGTCCTCTTCAGGTCTTACCAACTCCCCCTTCTTTCATATGACTCCCTGCACTCTGCCCAAAGTTTGGTTATCAATCTCAGCATCTGCTTTGATACACTACTAGGTAGAGTCTTTCATAGACCCTCTATGGTAGGCTCCTGTCCTATTTCTTGTTTTTTCCTTCTTTCAATGTCCATCCCATTTGTCGTTCTATGTTAGGACTGATCATCTTACCCGAGGTCCTCCTTCTTGTTTAGCTTCTTTAGGTGTACAGATTTTAGTATGTTTATCTTATCTTATAGGTCTAGTATGCACATATCAGTGACTATATACCATGTGTGTTTTTCTGCCCATGGCAGCTCAGTATCCAGTGGGTTCCCTAGCAAGGGGAACAGGGACTATTGCTGACATGAACTCAGTGGCTGGCTCTTTAACCCCCACCTCCCGAGGGAGGAGCAGCCTTGTCAGACCTCAGAGGAGGAAAATCAGCCAGTCCTGATGAGACCTGATAAGCTAGGGTCAGATGGAAGGGGGAGGAGGATCTCCCCTATCAGAGGACTTAGAGAGGGGAATGGGAGGAGATGAGGGAGGGTGGGAATAGGAAGGAATGAGTGAGGGAGCTACAACAGAGATGCAAAGTGAATAAAATGTAATTAATGTGAAAAATAAAAATTTATTTAAAAAAGACAGATTTATTCAACCACAAATTCAGCTTTTCTTAGGATGAGAAACCCTAACTTGGAAACCCTGTCATTACTCCTAAGAAGTAATTTCTATTTCCTAGAAATTAACAACCTAGTATTGTGGCAAAACTCTGAAACCCCAACCCTAGGGGAGGCAGAGGTAAAAATTCAAGTCCATCTTTGGGTACATACAAGTTATGATGCCAGCCTGAGCTTCATGAAACCCTGTCTATGAAAAAGACTCTAATTTTATTTTGGCAGCTCTAGACAAGGACATGGCAATGTTTACCATGGCAACCATGGCAGGAGATCAGTATCGGTAGAAATTATTCATGACTCCAACTACAAATTCTTTACTTGTTCCTTTTTATTTCCTGATTCAAAAGGAGAACTTAGTAAACTTCTTCTCCTACCAATAAAGTAAGTAGGTATTTCAGGTTATATACAGCCTATAATCTCAACTCCCATTGAAATACAAACATTTATATACAATGTGTAAATAAGTATATGTCAATGGAATCAGACACTATAAAAAAGTGGCAGGGTGGATTTGATCACTATGCAAATTAATTTCTTTTTTATTATTGTTATAATTTATTACAATTTATTCAATTTGTATCCCAGCTGTAGCACCCTCCCTTGTCTCCTCCCAAACCCACCCTCCCTTCCTCTTCTCCCTATGCCCCTTCCCTCAACCACTGATAGAGGATGTCTTTCTCCCCTTCTTTTTGACATTAGCCTATCAGGTCTCATCAGGACTGGCTGCATTTTCTTCCTCTATAGACTGGCAAGGCTGTACCCCCCCCCCCCAGGGGGAGGTGATCGGGGAGGTTGCCACTGTAACCCAAGTAAATGGAGCAGGAACTTTCTCTGACAAATTAATTTCCTATCAAGGTTAATACAAACAAACAAAATTCTGAAGAATGCTTTTTAAATAAAAAAGCATTTCAGAATATTGCGGTAATTTTAGCAATCATCTAAGGGTCAAAAACAAATGCATATTCTAAACCTCCCACACGAGTCTTCCCTCTTCCTTTTTCTCTCCTTGCTCTTCTACCTCTCTCCTTTTCTTTGTGATCAGCGCTTTTATGCATATACATATAGTGTAATTAATTTATTAAGAAAAATCACAAAATGACCAGGAAAGTTGTGGACATTTGAACAAATTGTTTAGTATCACCTAAATGTGAATATTTTGAAATATAAGTTAATTTTCAATGAACTGGTTAGTAATAATCCATGAGGCATAAGATTTAGGCTGATTGTTTATGAGAGAAGAAAAGGGTATCCCTAATTTCATGGACACTTGAAGAAAGAAGGTCAGACAGAATGTAAATCATGACCCAGGTTTCCATTGTCTTCGGTTACTTTTCTTGAGCCATCATGCAGTCACTTGTGAACAACTAAATACTCTCAATACACTTTCTGGGATATCCTTTATATCAGGCAACAGTGAATTCATTTAAACTTTCCCAAGCATTTGAAAATGCTTGTGCTATAATCTTCTCTCTAGAGTGTTCTCCTTACGGATATAGCATACATAGATTCCTAACTCCAGTCATTTTTTCCTTCTTACAGCCAGAAAGAGTTATCCTGAGTATGGTAGCTTGGATTTGAGGAGACAGTGCAAAATGAATAGAGGTCACTGTAAAACCCAGTGCACTGAAAATGAAATTAGGATTGCTTTCTGCATAAGACCTGGAACTCACTGCTGCATCTAGAATTAAAGATGGTGGACAAAAAGAGACACATTATCCAAGAAGAAGAACAAGTCTAATTAAGCCTTCCAAGCAAAAATTTCAAGATATGTGTGTCTCCATAAAGCAAAAAGAATTAAATAAAATTAAATCCTGAATCATTCAGAAGTGGTTCTAGCTTGTGTATTGATCGGTACATTCAGATGCTGAGTCCACATTGTGAAAGTTCCTCAAACATTCCTCAGAATTTTGTGCCTTGTGATATTTTACATATTAATATGTTAGGAATACCAAAGAATGGAAGTGCCTTTCTGAGTTACAGGCTACTAGTAGATGTTCACTGCTAATTTATTATCCCTATACAAATAGAAAAACGACTGGGCTTTGACATTAGATTATGCAAACACAGATCGTTCTCGCTAGAGACAAAAAGCTTAAGAGAGAATAACCAAGACATAAGAGCAAACTCAGACAGAATATTCACATTGCATTAGTATATACTCATGTTTACTACTTAGTGGAGAGGAATATGAATCAAAATATGGGGAGCATTTAGAAAAGAAGAATGTGGACAAAATTATTTTATATCGAAATATAAACTCTGCCCTATAATTTAATTCTCCTCTTTTCTCCGAAGACCTGATACTACTTGAGAAGATACACATAAGAAAAGAACACTCCTCTGCACTTTTCACCTTGGTTCTGACTCGGATTCTATTCTTCCTCTGCATACAACAGTTTCCTTCCCTGTAACTCTACAGACAAATCTATACTATATCCATCCAAATTTTCTACTTTTTATTACTAACATAGTAATACAATTTAACAATTCATATCAAATAAAAATTCTTGTGAAATATTCATTCATCTAATAACATAAAATAGGTTTAAGTAAATTAATTAAAGTAAGGGGAAATTATTAAAGACATTCAGGAGTAGTAGACATTGAATCAGAAAGAGATAGGAAACAAATAATTTATTTTATTGTCGCATCTCTTTATGTTCATTCCTGGATTCAACTGCAGATAAGAGATGCGAGCATGTTTATATTAAACATTGCTTACAACCGTGTGATACACCTGGTGCTAAGGTTTCCAGTACGGTGATTACATTATTTATTATATATATATATATTCATATATATGTGGCTGATCAATTTTCAGTATAGTCATTCAATGAATCCATGGGTTCCATTATGAAGTAGTTATTTTCTAAACACATATTGGAGCTTTTAATTTATTCCACGTTTGAAGACTTTAAGAACATTAAACAGTCTGATTACGTCATGTGTTCTCTTGCAGTGTACACACTCAAAGCGTTTTATGGTACTCATTTAGAGCAGTCTTCTGCCGCCTTAGCACTCCTGGCCTTCTAGTTTGGACAATTCTGTTTAGAAGAGTTACACTATATGTTGCCTGTCAACTGGCAGGACTTGTCTTGGCATCTCAGACTTTTACCTACGAGATGCCACAGCATTTGTTTCTTGAAAATGAAAATCAAAATGCTTATATGTATTGATAAGTATCTCAAATGGATGAAGAGATTTATCCCAATGTGAAACACATATAGATATAAAGCATCCATTCTCACAGAGAATAAAATTTTAAATGAAAAAAAAATACTAACATTGTCACATGCTCACTAATAACATTCTATGTGTCTTGAGAGAATAATTATTTAAATCTTTATTATATTGGAATATATTTTCTGGGGTTAGTTGAGAAATTCAAAAAATATAGAGTAAATTTTCTCCAGTGAATATATTACGCACATCAAGAAAAAGAAAATTCTGACTGTGAATGAACGTTTATAATTTCAACTAATCTATTACAGAGGGATTACTACAAGTCTTGTAGTGGAACAGAGAGGTGTAAGATACAGTCAATATGAGGATCACCAGAATTTAGCTTGTTAAGGTCTTCTAAAAAGTTGAAGATGGTTAGAAGTTTTCCAAAAAACAGTGTAGCTTTCTCTACTTCTCAAGCTGGCTGCCCTTGCATTTCTGAAACTCTCACCACCCTTTAATGATCCATTGAGAGAAATCACATCCCCCTCAGATTCTGAGCTAACCTCTTCTCATGCATACTTTCAAACCACTGCCCTAGGTCATCAGTTCAAGAGGAGAGGAAAATGTGAAAAACTTCAATATACCATATACATAGGAAGTCTTTATGTGATTTTTTTTAAAATTTATATCAGAATGATAAGTTGAGGATGGCTGTCTGTGCTTGTGACCTCAGCACTGTGTGGCAGAGTCAGTCAGAGTCTGGGAGTTTGCTGGCCAGCCAGTTTAGCTGAAAGACGAGCTTCAGTTTCAGGTAAAGACCTTTTCGCAGGGAATAAAGAGACTACCGTGGAAGAATTCTGATGCGTGTGTTTCACAGTTCTTGTATACACACACTCCACACAGCCATGCACATGCATGGCACACATGCACCCACATACACTCACACACTTACACACACAGTATGAAGGCTGAGTGCATTCTTGGCATGTGAGGTAGAAGTAGCAGGAGTTTGTCAGAGATTGACAAGAAAGTGGACAAACATTTCTCCAAGATTTCTTGTATGGCCTCCCACAGAATAAGTTTTGTCATTTACTGAAAGGATAGAGTCAGGAGCAAACTCACTCAGTTCTGGATATTCTATCTTTGATAGGTAGAACAGACTACAGAAGCACTTCCTTGGAGAAGATAGAAAACGAGTGGCTGTGTTGAAGATGGTGACATTTTGAATTGGGGTGAGGGAAGACCAGCTAAATTTATAGTCAACCTGTTAATGCTTCCTCAGGCCTCTGTTAACCAGGAGTGGTAGAATGGTCAGACATAGATGCTGACAGCCAAGTTCACACTGTCTGAAAGGCTTGGTTTGTCTATTAAGAATGTTCAATTTAGTTCCTGAAGAAAAAGAAAATTAGGACCATCTTTGGGAGTCGGGATGACAATGTTTTTGGATTATAAACTTAGATTGAATGATGTGATGGTTAACTGAAATTCGATTAGAGTTGACCTGATTTTAAAAAAGTTCTCTATCACCTTCATTATTGCCCTTTATTTTCATATTGATGCATGTCGCTTTGTAATGTTTGTGACTCAAAATTCATTTGAAATGTCAGTCACTTTATTTGATTTACTTGAGGAGTCCAAATGTTCTCAAATGTCTTTTCCTAAAAAGGGACTCTTTCATGATGTTCTAATCCTATTTTCTGATCTGTGTGAAATCTGTTCTCTACCAAACTCTAATAACTAACTTTGACTTAGTTTACAACATTACACACAGTTGCCAATGTTTATTTTCTGATCCCATCTAAAACAAGACTCACATGTTAGTTACTAATAAATATATAAATTAAAAGAAAGGACGCTATCTATAAAACTAAAAGTGAAAAAATGCTTAAGGTAAAAGATTAGTTTAACTGGCCACATTCCCATAAAACCTCTATCCGAAGAAAAAGGGAAATTTTAATTTGGGAAATAAAGACTAAGATCTGTGTGGGTATTGTCACCTCATGTGATTGCATACAATGCCATGAAATATAAAACTTTTATAAACTACAATTTGCAGTTCAGAAAACAAATATAAAGCCTAATTTGCTCTAACTGACAAATGATAGTTACTGTATCCTTCTATCATATTTATGGTCATGATTTATAGAAAACTGCCTAAAATATATCTTCCTAGTAGAGACATCAAATAAGAACTTGAGATTTTCTCTTTTCAACAAAATTAGTTATCATCAGCCCTCCTTCACTAATAGTTTCACAAGTTATACTTCAGCGTGAGTGAACAAAGGGACACTCCATGTCCTTCTGCCAGGCACCTGTCTTGATTTTAATGTGATACTTGTCAATTAATACCATTCACGTCACAGGAACACTCTCTCTACTCATGAATTAGGTATATATGTCACTTTTCAGTTTCTGCATGCATATTAACTAATGAATATTCATGAAATATTAAGGAATATCATGATTATCCAAAACAGTGGTAAATTTTGACACTTCAGAGCAATGCAATATGCAAGTAAGGATTTTTGAACTGGGTCTGGGGAGATGACTCAGTGATTAAAATGTCTGATGCTGAAATGTGAAGAACAGAGTTTGCATGCTCAGCACCACATAGAAATCAGGAATGCATGGCAACCTACCTATAATTCCAGAACTTGGGATTCAGTAGCTACCCATACCATCATCTGCCTAGCTAAAATATCCAATGGGTGTGCTCTGGGTTCAGTGAGCCTCTGTCTTAAAAATGAAGGGAGAAAAGCATCTGATTTAGCCTTTGGCCTCCACACATGTACACACACCTGTGTATTTGCACCTGCATATATTGTACACAGACACTCACACAAAAAAGAGCAAACTCATTTAATTGCCTACTTTTTTTCCAGATCATGTAATTTTATCAAAATTGAACCTATTTGTTTCATTCTAGTAATAATAATCAAACAGAAATGTGACTAGTTTTATGTGACTAATGATTAAGATAAGCCATTCTTTGGTGGATATATGGAATTTGTAAAAGCTTTACAAATTTACAAATTGAGTGTTGATAAGCTATTATTGCTCAGGGATGTTGATTAATTTATTAAAGCACCAGAAAAGTGTTTTAAAGAGAGACAGAAAGAAGGTCATCAAGCATATACATGGCCTCTTTAAATTGTATTAACTATAGTTCTGAAAAGTTTAAAGTTCACTGAAATATACCAGTGGCCAGAAACTCTCTTTATCAATTAGCTTCTTGTTCCTAAGGAACTGCATCTATTCATGTCTCACTCTTTCCTCTCTCTTCTATTTCCACTTAATTCCCATTCTCCACCAAAAGGATCCAGTTCAGTCAGGCTAGCACATCAGATTTCTTATATTTGTGACTTTCCTTACCCAATGCCTAAGAATACTGGGACTTGAGAAAAGGCCCTACTTATGGAGTGAGAGCAATATAATTCTCGGAATTTCATTTAGATTCTGAGCAGGCAGGAGTTTCTCTGAGATGACATAATTTAAACCTAAATGTGGTTACATTTTTTCTCAAAAGTTTAGTGAAATTGTTTTACATTTTCTTTATTATTATTATGATGATGATCAAACATATAGCTCTAATGAATATTATATTATATAGGTGGAATGAGAGATCAAAACAAATAAATACATTGGTAAAATCTGGGAAAAAAATCTGACTTTGAAATATTTTTATTCTAAAGGAAAAATTGTATTGTAGATTACTTTCTTACCAATAAAATTCTCCAAGAACAAAGTTTACATACCTTTATCATAGTTTTCATATTTCTATGAATATATTTATATAGTTTAACATACAAAGCAATGACATCAGAATCTTATAACTTGGGGAGGAGCATGTGTGGAGAAGGGGGAGGAAGAGTGTGAATGGGAGGGGAGGAGGAAGGAGTTTACAGGGGGATACAAAGTGAATAATGTGTAATTAATAAAAGTTAAAATAAAAACATGCAAAGAAGTGACATCAGAATCTTATAACATTGTATTATTTATTTGGGTGGATCATTAGTGCTCATCTGTGAATAATGCACAGGTACATTTAATTCTATTTGCACATGGGAAACATTTTAGTCTCTCCAGTAACCTAGTTCTTCATTAAGTTTTGCTTGAATTCTATGCTGCTATTTCTACACTACATGCTTAAGGTGTTAAGAAAGGGAACAAATTAAACTATTGCATAGAGGTTTTGGGGTAGGTTAGATGAATATAAGTAATATAACAAACATGCTATTAAATAAATACAATTAAATATCGGCTTTATTTTACTTCAAGTGTTATTGTCACATTGTGGGGAAAAGAGAGTACTTGTTTCCAGTGAAAATAAAACAATTTTTAGTTACATTATGTCGATGTCATTTGCCTTAAAAGTGGTAAAATGCAATCTTTTTATACTTTTAAAGGTATCAATATTGTTTTCATAAGTGAGTAGGCAAGTAAGTTGGTTTAGTAAATGGGGAATAAGAAAGGTACTTGCAGGACCTTAGGATGCTGCTGACCTTCAAGTTGAGCATTGGTTGTGGGGCCATCAATATGCCTTTAGCTTCATTGTTTCCCCAAATATCTGTTGAACTGTGAAAAGAGTAATAAACAGTTGGTCCTATCCCTCTTCTTAGACCCCATTATTTCATTATCAGAGCATGTATTTTATCTCAAGTAAGTAATATATCAATACATTTATATATGCATATATTTGTTTACACATAGATGTCAAAGAAATTTATTTTCTTTGGTTTTATTAGCATATATTAATTATCCAGTCATTTATTTCATTGGGGCATTTCCATGCATGTAAGAAATGTATTCCTTGGCTATATTCACCTTCACAAATTTCCCTTTTGTTCCCTTACTTCCCGCTGATCTCCTTTCTCTTTCCAGAGAGTTTCCTTAAACTCATCATGTCTTTCTTTTGCTTGATTACAGTCAGGAGTCACATGCTACCGAAGTACAGACTTCAGAGATGCGAGAAAGTGAGAGGCATGTGTAAGACTTTCTGCAGTGATGATGAATATGATTATGGCTACTGCATCAAATGGAGGAACCAGTGCTGCATCTAAACGACCACACCAAAGTCCTACTTAGAGTCCAGTCCAGAAAGGAGGTGCACCAAAGGCTAACTCAAATATTCATTCCTGCTGCTCCTGGTATCCATATATCATTAAGTTTGAGAACTGAGGAGTAAAGCATTGTATAGCCACACAGGAATATATACTTCTGTGCATCTCTTGAAGAACAGCTAGATTGTTTCTGAATATTTGTTATTGCAATAAAAATGCTGTAAACATTTCTATCAGGACTTTGTGTGAACATGTGTTTGCTTTTATTGTTCTTAAGTATCTACTCAGAAGACACATGACATATGTGGTAAGTATACACGTAATTTTAAAAAATAAACCACCAAACTGTTTTCTACCCTTATTGTGTATTTATGTCTGCCTACCTGCTTGATTGTCTGTCTATATCTCTCTGTGTTTCTCTGTATTTCTCTGTGTTTATCTCTGTCTCTGTGTCTGTTTCTCAGCCTTTCTCTCATCATGTGTGTTGGTATGAGTATGTGTGTGTGTTTAAGTGTGTGTGTGTTTGCATGTGTGCGTTGTATCCATGTCCACATACTGTGGCACACAAGTGAAAGTCCCAAGGATCAAACCAGGTAATCACAGTTGGTGGCTAGGCTTTACTGCAAGTTCTATTTTCACAGTTTAATATCTTACACTCAGGACCAACACTAGGCAGAGCTCAAGGAATCACTCAAAAGAGGAGCCAGAAGGATTGTAGAAGCCAGAAGAGTCCTGGACACCACAAGAACATGGCTCACAGAAACTGCTAAGCAGGACTCATAGATGCTCACAGAGACTGAGGCGACAATCAGGGAGCCTGCTTTTTGGGATTCTTTTCCTGTTACTGGGTTGTCTCATTCAGCCTTGATATGAAGCTCCAAGCCAAGTTTGGCAATTATCCCTGGGAGGCCTGCTCTTTTCTGAAGGGAAATGAAAGGAGAGAATCTGAAACAGAGGTATGGGGGGCGGGTCTTAGAGGCGAGGAGGAAGGGCAATTTGTAATCAGCATGTAATATGTGAGTGAAAATAATAACAAAAACAACAAACACACAAATAAATAAATAACTAATAGTATAGGGTTGTAGTTCCTCCATTTTCTTCTGAAATTAAGTACAGTCATTCCTTACTTTCACACATTCTAATACCTATGGTGCTGAACACATATCTTTTAGAATGTATCAGCTTAATCTTTGTTCATATTGGATTCAGTGCTTTAAATTCTATTTTGAAATCTTTTTGTTGTCTACATGAAGAAAGTCTGTTCTCTGATCACTCTTACAAGATACACAACTAAAGTAGATACACTGACTCTCACCTTTCATCTTTGTTTTGCCTCACTTGTTCTATTCCCTTGGAAATGTCCATTCCAGTGGGGTGGGCAGTGTCTTGGTGTAGCCTATTGTTCTAATAAAAAGAATTTTTAAAACGTGCTTTGACTGTGTTTCATATAAAATACCTACATAATCTAATAAATGTTGATAATTGAATATTGACTCACTGATTTTAGTTTTAGATTGTTTCTCTTTGTAGTTCTCTAGTGGTCATGTTCATGTATTTTGAATCACTGTAAGTATATGGATAAATGTTCAGACTTTTCACTTCCTATTTTTTCTAAAGTTTTTAATTAAAATAGAATTATATAACTTTGCTACTCCTTTTCTTCCTTGCAGCCCCTCCCTTCATCAATGACCTTCTTTCCCATCCCCACATATTCAAGTTCACAGCCTCATTTTCTTTGATTACATTTGTTGTCTACATGTCTCTATATGCATACACATGAACAAATACATATAAATACAATTTGCTGGGTACATTTTGTCATTTGTGTACAGAGGCTTTGAATTCTGACCACCTGCATTCACTTTCTCTTAATAACTATCTTAACATTACAAAATAACTCTTTAACACTTAAAAATGTTAATGGTATTCTTTTCTTAAAATATTCTTTGTCATACCTTAAAATGGTCCCTCCCAGTTTCTTTGAACTAATGTTTGCAGAGTATATTTTTTCTATTTTTCCATTTTCCTTCACTTACTTATGATTTATCTTTGTTTTAGTAGTTGTGATGTGTTTCTAATTAAATATTTATGTCACAAATTAAATTAAACTTTTTAATAGGCATTTTAAATATTTTTGCTTATATATACCATCTTATTTTTTATGAATATGTTTTAGTTAGTTGTGCACTGTAAGTAATTTATTTATATCTTTGACTTATGAAATATGTACAACATATTTCCATTGTGTTACTTTGGAGAGTATTCTGGTGGTGTTTGATGAAGTATCTTATCTT